ATAGACTATATTAGCAACAAAGCTGCTACTAATAATGCTGAATCTGGAAAAATTGTAATTTTGCCTTTTACATTTTTTGGTAGCCCACGAGCAATGCAACAACATTATCAAGATGCTATTACTATTGTCACATATTTTGGAAAACCTGACTTATGTATTACATTTACATGCAACCCAAAGTGGCCTGAAATTGTGCAAAATTTACAATTGAATGAATCACTTGAGGATCCACTTGATCTTATTTCAAGAGTTTTCAATTTAAAGCTTAAAGAATTATTACATGATATAAGTATCAAAGGAATTTTTGGGAAGTGCATCGTATATGTTTATGTTATTGAATTCTAGAAAAAAGGTTTACCTCATTGTTATTTCTTAGCAATGTTATCAAGCGAAGATAAGATAAAAAATCGAGACTCAATTGACGAATTTGTCATTGCACAGTTGCCACACCCACTACTAGAACTAGAATTGCGTAACATAATTATAAATCATATGATACATGGTCCATGTGGTAATTAAATTCTAGAAGCCTTTACATGGAAAATAACAAATACTTTAAGAATTATCCAAAAGAATTTAATGTTGAAATCATTTATTGTGTTGATGGTTATCTTGATTACTACCGGCCCAATAACAGACACACTTTCATAAAAAATGGTTGTACTATTGACAATAGATGGGTTGTTCCTTATAATAAATACTTTTGTAAAAAATATCAAGCACACATCAATGTAGAAATTTGCACTTCTATTAAAAGTATTAAATATTTATTTTAATATGTATACAAAGGTTATGACTGTGCAACATTAGAATTCCTAATTGCATCTAAAGAACAAGGGACTTTAAATTGGGACGAAATCTCAAGTTTTGTTGATGCTTGATATATTTCTACTCCCGAAGCCATATGGCATATATTTAAGTTTTGTATGCATGATAAATCACTAACTATTATACACCTTCCAGTTCATTTACTCAATTTTCAATACATTTATTTCAGACCAGGTCATGAACAAGAAGCACTAGAAAGAGCCACTCAAAATGGAACAATGCTTACACAATGGTTCAATTTAAACATGCAAGATACTAATGCAAGGCAATATACATATGCTCAAATTCCATTACATTACACATACAACAAATCTTCTCATAAATGGCAATTACACTAACGAAAAGCTAAACTTATACCAAGAATGTATTCCATATCTCCTTCTAATAGTGAGTTGTACCACTTGTGATTTATATTACTCCATAAAAAAGGTGTTATATCATTTGAGGATATACATATTGTCGAAGGTGTTACTTTCTCCTCTTTTAAGCAAGCAACTATGGCAATGGGACTTTTAGCATATGATTCAGAATGGCAACATTGCATGCAAGAAGCTTCTACTTTTAAAATGCCATCCCAATTAAGACAATTATTTGTTTTTATTTGTTTGTATTGTTCACTAAAAGATCCAAATCTATTATGGGATCAATTCAAAATTGATATGTCTGAAGATTATACTAGAAATGATATAAATTATTTTGACATTGCTTTAATCGATATTAACTCAAAATTCCTACTACACAATAAATTTAATTGTGATTTTGGTTTACCACTCCCAACTCTTACTCCCATTATCAAACACATGCTTAATACAGAGATCCCTGACCCATCAGAAGACCAAATAAATGCAAATATAAATCAATTCAGTTATGAATAACATTATATTTTTGAACTCATTATAAATGCCATTGACACTAACCAGCATCAATGTTTCTTTATTGATGAACCTGGTGGTATTGGAAAAACTTTTCTACTTAATACCATCATTACAGCATTACAATTTAAAAAAATAAAAGTAATCAGTATGGCATGGACTGGGATTGGAAGCATTTTGCTAAAATATGGTCAAACGACACATATGACTTTTAAACTTCCTATTCCTTTAAATGAAACTTCTATTTCTGCTTTAATAATTAATAGTGATGCTGGAAAAACCATTAAACAAGCAAATGTTCTCATATGGGATGAAATTAGTATGGTTCATACATATGTTTTCTTTGTGGTTGATAAATGTTTAAAGCATCTCAAATGTAATTCTAAACCATTTGGAGGCGTTACAGTAATTACAAGTGGTGACTTTCGTCAAACCCTTCTTGTTGTTCCCTATGGCCATAGAACCTCTATTATTTCAAGCTTAGTTAAAATGAATAGACTATAGTCACTTTTTAGAACACTAACATTAACAAAGAACATGCGTTCAAGCAATCTTTGTTTTTCTGAATGGCTTCTCAAACTTGGCAATGGTGATAATAATTTGAAGTTGCCATGTCTCCTACCAGATATTATCAAAATACCACATGCATTATCTATCACTACACATGTTGTAAACTTTGTTTTCCCAAATACCAATGATATTATAAATATTTATATAGGTGCATCAAAGGTTATTCTCACCCCACTCAATGACGACACATTCAGAATAAATAATAACATTGTTGGAAGACTACCAGATGATCCATATATTTATTTGAGCATTGACACAGTTGACTCAGATCACCTTGAAGAGATCTTAATTGAATTCTTAAATTCAATCACCCCATCGGGACTACCACCACACAAATTAATTCTAAAACAAAATGTGATTTTGATTCTTCTTAGGAACATATCTCCATAAATTGGTTTATGCAGTGGCACTCACCTCATTCTCAAGCAAGCATCTCAAAATGTTTTAGATTGTGAAATTATCAAAGGACAATTCAAGGGATCGCAAGTTTTTATTCCACATATTACCCCTACACCTTCTGATATTGAAATCCCTTTCAAGATGTACTGAAGACAATTCCCAATTCGTCTGGGTTATTGCTTAACTATTTCTAAATCCTAAAGACAAACTTTCAACTGTGTTGGCATTTACCTCCCCTAACCTGTTTTCACACATGGTCAACTTTATGTTGCTCTGTCAAGGTGTAGATTACCTGAACAACTTCGTGTTCAAGTGCTTGCAACCCCCTTTCAAGGCAATCTTATACCATATGATCAACACTTTTACACTATGAATACAGTCTATGCTGAAATTCTTAAATAGATTGACAAAAACATGGCACAATTCTAAATCTAACCATGATTCCACAAAGCTATCTACTCAATCACCCTTGAGTTGCAGTTGTGAGTTTCAAGTGCACACCACAACAAAGTGGGCATTGACTGGTGTGCCTTGGGTGCTATCCCATTTTGGTTATGGCAACGTGCTATTGAGTTGCTAATGGCAAAGGTACAGTTTTCATCCTATTGCTTTTTGAGTGCAGTTCTCATTGCAATATAATGGTTTCCGGCTCATCCCAGGAACCTCTCTAGCGGGCTGTGGAGCAAGTACTAACATTTGCACCAAAGATGGACTTGGAAGTATTCTTTGGGCTTTTTGTGTTCAAAATGGAGGAATGCAACTCAACAGTGATCTAATCTAGCTTATATAATGCTCATAACACATTTTGTCACGAGAATGTCTTTCAATTGTGGAGTCAATCAAACAGCAAACATAGCTAAGCTCAAAAAACCTCTTCAAATGGCATCAAATTTGCCAACCACCCAGCATTTGCTGGGCAATTGCTAGTATAGAGAGAGAGAGAGAGAGAGAGAGAGAGAGAGAGAGAGAGAGAGAGAGAGAGAGAGAGAGAGAGAGAGAGAGAGAGAGAGAGAGAGAGAGAGAGAGAGAGAGAGAGAGAGAGAGAGAGAGAGAGAGAGAGAGAGAGAGAGAGAGAGAAGCCCATCTTGTAGGCATTCTTCACTTGGTTTTCTTGCTCTTGACAATGAAGTTCATGATGTTTCTATTAATGCTGGCAGCGATCTTTCTTGCGGCAGCCATGGTGATTGAGGGAGCGCATGAGGAAGCCAAATGTTACAAGAGGTATACTTGCTTTTTTGGTGGCCTCAAGTGCAAGGACTACTACTGTAAGCTTTGCCACTTTGTGAGGCACGGCGAGCACTGTGAGAGGTGCCACTCTGGAAGCTGCTCCTATGGTCGATGCACTTGCAAGGGACCTTGCAGCAGCTCCAATTGCCCCATCTATGTTTGATAGATCCATCCATCGATCGGAGCTTCAATCGTGCCTGTAAACTCATCATCAATAAAAACAGTTCACTCACAAGTCTTTCAGGGACGTTTTGTTCCTTCTAGAGAACATAACGCTTGCAAAGACGACAATTAGTCCTTTTAATAATCTAGATTACTCCTCTCTAAAAGCAGGACGATATACCGTTTTATTCTAAGCTCGCTTTATTATAACGTTTAAATCTAAGACCACTTTACAGATTATCGGCTTGCTTGGCTTAGCATTTTTTAACGTGTTACTTACTATAAAATGAAAGAATTATGTGATCACTTAGTAGCCAGCAGTCTCAAGATGAAGAAAGGAATTGTTATAATTTTGTGTGTGGTGCTAGCAATGGCAGTCAATGCTCAAGACTGTTATAATTTTTATTCCTGCCCACAGGACCCTGCAATTAAATCACACTGCCACACATTTTGCAAGATGTGCCACTTTAACAACGAAGGAAACAATTGTGAGATATGTAAGAGCGGCTCTTGCAATGATACCAAGAGATGCATTTGTGATGATTGTCGAGTTGTTAACTGTTAAGATAATAGTAAATATTAATATTGGTGTTTTGTGTGGACTGGTTTTCTAAATGTATAATTATTAAATAATTTCAATTGGTGAATTATTAAAATAGAAGCTTTTATGATAGTTGAACCAAAAGAAAAACAGACTAAAAAATTCTATAAATGATAAAAATCTTCATAAAGTATAATAGTAATAACTACACCAATTTAATTAAAGTTATATTAAAACTAACTATAGCTGATAAAAATATATAAAAAGAAATTCAAAAAGGTAAAGATTATATATAGTTTTTAGTCCTATTGTGTCAAAGATAAACTAGGCAATATCATAAAAATTATGAACAAAACCATAACCAGAATAAATCACCAGATCAAAACGCAGATTTTGTAGGGTTTAAGCAAAGCCAATGGCAATAGATCCAGCAGACACTCGCAAGCAATGGCTGCTCTCCAGGGACGAATGCAGGTGCTGCTGCTCTTCCACACGACCCAAAATCCTTCTCTCCATTGCGGCTCTCGCTCTTCTTGTCACTGCAGCAGTGGTGATTGGAGCAAGCGTTGGAGCAACTCGAGCATCCGCCAGGAATCACCGGCACAAGAGGAGCTCCAATGCGGCCACATTCGACGAGAATTACAACATCTCCTGGTCGGGAGATCACGTCCGGCTTCTCAACGGCGGCCTGCTCGCGGACATTCTGCTCGACAAGCAATCCGGTAAGAGAAACTCTGTTATTTCATGGATTTCCTTCCTTTGTGATCGATCTGTGCGTGATCTCCTAGGGGCCGAATTCGGATCTAAGAGATCCTATCTCTTTGGCCATCTCAAGATGCAAATGAAGCTCGTCGCCAATGACTCGGCTGGAACAGTAACAGCTTTCTATGTAAGCATCAAGTTTTCTTCCAAGATCTCTGTCAATGTCTTCCAAGAACATTGGATCTCATACAGTTTCTCGATCGATTTGACTCGTCCAGATGGCGTCACACACGGAGAATCGCGACGAGTTCGACTTTGAGTTCTTGGGCAACAGATCCGGGCAGCCATACGCGCTACAGACGAACATCTATGTCAATGGAACCGGTGGAAGAGAGCAGCGAATCCTACTGTGGTTCGATCCAAGCCTCGATTATCACACGTACTCTGTTCTCTGGAACCAGTACCAAGTCATGTAAGAGAAATCTTTTCCTTGCTTTTGCCAGAAGTTCTTTTCACTCTTGGAAGCAAAGCTTGCTTTTTAAAAAAACTTCTCGCTAGAAATTTAACTTACTTTGGTTCTTTCCTTCTTTTTGGAGCAGATTTTTCGTCGACGACACTCCAGTGCGAGTCTTTCGGAACAACAGCCACCTCGGAGTCCCCTACGCGTTTAGCCAGCCAATGCGGATCTTTGGGAGTATGTGGAACGGAGAGCAATGGGCCACAGTTGGCGGCCTCGAGAAAACCAACTGGAACTACGCACCTTTCATCGCTTCCTTCCAAGACTTTGCCATCGATGGATGCGACCCCTCCTCGTCTCCTGGTGATCCGGGATTTTGTTTTAGCTCTGGGAATCGAAATCACTGGTGGGATGAGGAAAAGTACCGTGTTTTGGACGTTGGTCAGCTGGATAATCTCGGCTCCATCGTGAGAAACTACACCATATACGACTACTGCACTGATACCAAGCGCTATTCACCAGTTCCTCCAGAGTGCGGTGCCAATCCCTGACTTGACTTTGCTTGGAACTCAAAAACATCGACGACTCGGAGCTTAGGACGAACAATAATTTTTCTTAGAAGACATACCATTTTTTGAGACACCGTGACGAATTTCACGTTGTGTGTAATGTTCTTTACATTGGATTCTTTCTTTCCCTGATTGTATTCTTTATGAGGCAGTGACCCCAGCACTGCAAACGGGGCAAGTCTGCAGGAAAACAGACTTCACGGATCAGAGACACGGATCAAAGAAAAGAAACAACTTGCCTTGTTAATCTGAAGCCATTGCTGGATACACTCGGAGTGATACTTGTGCTTGCAAGGCAATGTCAAGAGCATCTCGTCTTCCTCGTAATCGTGTCGACAAATCACACACCTAAGTGATCCCAGTTTAGACTAGAAGTTACTCAAGAAATCAAAAACCTTTGTACGTACTGCTCACTGTCACTGCTGGTGCTGCCTCCGGTATGACCACGCTTGTAGGATGTTACTGGAAGCTCGGCTATGGCATCTGAAGAGAGCCCTCGACTTTCTACTCCGACAGCATCACCAAGCGCCACGAGCTCCTGTGGAAGGAAAAAGAAACTTAAGAATACAGGATGAAACGAAAGAGGGAATGTTACCTCGTAAGACATATGGTCTGGATCAACATCTTGCCACTCCTGCCACGAGAATCTTAACTTTTCGCAAAATAAACGAAAAGCTCTACATACCTGTGATTCATCACTGCCATCCTCCTCTTCCTCCTCCTCCTCCTCCTCTTCTTCTTCTTCCTCGTCATCTTCGTCTTCATCCTCATCATCTTCCTCGTCGTCTTCATGTACATCCACATCGTCCTCATCCACTTCTTCGTCATCTTCCTCTCCTTCCTCATCCTCCTCTTCTTCACCATCGTCTCCCACTGCCATTTCCCACTCATCTCAGCACCAAAACAAGATGAGTGGAAAGCAACCGAAACTCACAGTCATGGATTCCGGCGAGCGCCATCATACGAGCCGCGTGCTCGCGCTCCTCATTCTCCTGCAAAGCCCTGGCAAACGCCTCATCACTTTCGTACTGGGAGCCATCCATGGTGGTCGTCCTGTTGTCAGCGTTTAATCCAGGAGCCTGGACTCGATCATCGCTCTCCTCCTCACCATCCTCGTCGGAGTCATCCTCGTAGCCATGGTAGTAAGCCCCTCCATTTCTCAAAAGCATGTAAGCTCTTTCCTAGGCCAGAAGAACAATCCCATACATCGCAAAGAGAATCAGAGAAGCACAAAAAAGAGAGACAAAGCCCACTTACCTGTTCCTGGAGCGTTCGAGCAAGAACCAAATCGGATTCTATCTGGCTCAACTGCGTAAAAGGCTGCCGAGCTCGCGCATTGTTGTTCCCAGCAGCGGCTCCGCCCGGCGCCGCCACTCCAGCTGACGCGGGCGCTGCCGCCGCCGCTGCTGCCGCCGCTGGCGCCGAGGAAGCACTGGATTGAGAATCGATCTGCTTTTGCTCCTTGTTCTCCTTGGCACTCTCCTCGGAGCCGGAGGAGCGCGTCTCGCCCTTCATCGCTGCTACAACCCTAAATCGCTCTCCGACCTAACACGCCAGCCAAGAAGGGATCTCCATCTACACTTTCATATGCAGGCCAATTCCATTCCATTTTATTTTCCATGCTAAGTAAGAGATAATTGAAAGCCCTAATCCAAGCCACTGAAAGCTTGTAGGACAAATTCTATTTATTTTGACAATTTACATTCAAAGATTGACTCGACCAGAAATTGACAAATTCAATTTATCTTGACAATTTATTTACAGATTTTCTTCCTGAGTCTCAACTTTTGGCGAAGATCTCTCTCTTTTTGTTGCCTGAGAGCCCTGGATTTGATAGTGATAATCTTCCGATTTGATGCTGCTACTGCATCGACAGACAATTTGCTCATGGCAGCAGCCAGCCTTCGCATCTTCCTGTGCCTCTCCACCAGCCGCGGGCTCTTCCTCTGCGGGATCTCACTGCGACCTCCATTCTTTGCCTTGGAACTCTTGCGATTCTTCTCACTAGCAGCCGCCATCACCATGCACAAGGAAATAGATAAACCACGCAGACCAAAGGGAAGTGAAGCTTGATGTGGTTGGCAAACCTAGCACGCAAATATATACACCGGGTTTAAGCTTGTATGCAACGCTTTTTCATAGCTTAAGTCATAAGTATCCAAACTATTCCTTTAAACTTTGTCACTTCCTTTAATTTCTTTAAGATTCTTGAGTCTTCCTTTAGACTTCTTTCTCGTTTGATCATCACCAGAAGTTGGCACAGGAGCACTTGCCATCGCCAAAGACGTGAAACCTGCTTGAATCTCTGCAGAGTATACGTCTCGCTTCCATGGCGGAGACCGCGCAGAAGACGAGATGGCAGTCATCACAAACCCGGAGGTTCTTTATGATGCGCACTGTTCCTCCCGGACGAGTGTTCAGCAGCGCACACGCAAGAGCCAGCTTCTCACTGTGTCCACAGAGCGCGTCCTCTTTTGCCTCGTCACAAATGTTGTGGTGGGAGACGCTAGCGAGATGAGCGACGTAGCCGGCTTCTTTCTTGATCCTCGCCATGGTTTTCTTGAGCAAAGCTTTGATCTCCTCCCCTTGAGGATGATGGCTTGTATCACCCGCACTGAACCTGTGAACTACGCCTCTAGGATCTGTCCACCAGCTCTGTCCTTGCCGTCGTAAAACCCGAGCACTCGTTCTCATCGTCTCGATCTTAGATTGCTCCTCCCACATTCCCAAGCTTCCATAGATGCTTCCCATGAGCATGTAGCCTGCGACGTCCCGGTCGTCCAGCTCCATCAGGGACTCAAAGGCCAGCTTCCCAACTTCCAAGTTCTTCCACTTCTTGCATGCCCCCAAGAGCGTCATCCAGGCCACGGGAGTTTTCCTGTAAGGCATGGCCTTGACCATATCCAGCGCCTCGCTGAGCTTGTTTGTTCGTGCCAAAGTATCTATCATGCAGTGGTAGTGCTCGATACCAGGCTCGATCGAGTACCTGGACCGCATGGCTTCAAAGTAGCGTCTTCCTCTCTCGACTAGACCAGCATGGCTGCACGCTGTTAACAGGCAAAGAAACGTTATACCGTCCGGAAGTACGTTCTCTTCCTGCATCGCTTGAAAGAGCTGGAATGCGTACCTGGTATTTCCTTGGCGGCTGTAGCCGGCCAGCAACGCAGTCCAGGCTATGGTACTCCGCACGTCCGTGGAGACGAAGCTTTCTTCCGCTTCACCTACGTTGCCGCATTTCCCAAAAAAATCCACGATGCCAGTGCTCACGGCGTGCTCCTTTTCGAACCCAGCTTTATAGATCTCCCCGCATACGTATTTCCCAGCTTCCAAAGATGCAAGTCCCGCACAGGCCTTGAGTACTGCTATGAAAGTTACCGAGTCCGGAGTGCAGCCATCCTCCCGCATTCTCATGAAGAGCTCCAAAGAAGAGTCGGCTTCACCGCTTTCGACATATCCCAGGATCAGGGCGTTCCAAGTGACCAGGCAGCGAACGGGGAGCTTGTCAAACACGCTCTGAGCTTGTGCCAGGCCTCCACAGTTCGTGTACATGTCGATCAAGCTGCTGGCTATGAAATTGTCTGTCTCGTAATCATAAGCAGCAGCTTGAGAGTGAATAGCGCTCCCCTTCTCCAGCACACCTTGTTTAGCAGCCTTTCCGTCGAGCTGAGTGGCATCCTCGTTCGCAGCAAGCCAAGTGCAAGCCTTGAGTGCAACGAGAAAGGTGACACGATTTGGAGAACACAGAGCTTCTTGCTGCATGAGCTCGAAGAGCCTCAAACCCAATCCTGCCTTCCCGTTTTCCACGTAACCCATCAGCAACGAGTTCCAAGATACCACAGTCTGCCACCTTGTCCTGTCGAAAGCTCTTCGAGCATCCAGAATGCTTCCACAGCTCGCATACATATCCACCAGACTGTTCCCGACAAACGTATCGAGCTCGCATCCAATCTTCAGCGCTTCAGAGTGAACAGCCATGCCTTTCTCCAAGGCATTCATCTTCACAGCCTCTCCTTCAACCAGCCTTCCATTTTCCTTCGCCGCCAAGCTCGCGCAAGCTTTAAGTGCCGCGAGGATCGTAACTCGGTTTGGCTCACAGATCCCTTCTTCTCGCATCGAGTCCAAAAGTTCCAGAGCTAGATCACCACCGCCATTCTCTGCGTACCCCAGCATCAGTGCGTTCCACGAGACAACACTGCGAGTGACCATCTTATTGAAAACCTGGCGAGCCATTCTCAAGCTTCCACACTTGGCAAACATGTCGATGGCACAGTTCTCCACGAAAGTATCCCTGTCGTAGCCAGCTTTCGCTGCCCTGGAGAAGATCTCCAAGCCTTTCTCCAGAGACTCTACCTTGACTACCTTTCCATCTACGAGCTTTCCATCCTCCTTGGCCGAGAGCAACGAGCAGCCCTTGATAGCAGCCACAAAAGCTCGAGAGTTTGGCAAGCATCCTGTAAATTCCATCCTATGGAACAAATCCAAGCTCTCCTCAGCTTGCCCGTTCTCGGCATAGCCCAGCATCAATGCCGTCCAGGACACCACATTCGGAGAAGAAATGTGCTCGAAGACGCTGCGAGCATCGGCCATGCTTCCAGATTTCGCGTACATGTCGACTAGAGTGCTGGCGATGTAGATGTCGGCGATCATCCCACTCTGGATTGCGTGATCGTGCATCTTCCTCCCGAAATCGAGCTCCTCTGTGCTGGCGCATGCCTTCAATCCGGCAAGAAGCGCACTGGCACTCTCCGGCTCGCATCGCTGCTGCTGGATATTTCTTGTTCCAATGCGATAGCTCCGAAAGAAGGACGACTTACATGATCTGCTGATGAGACGGCAACGCCAGAGCATGAGATCGGGGTCATCGCGGCCAGGAAGCCGGGAATCTCAAGCGCATTCTCTCAAGAACCCTAAAATATGTAGGTCCATTTTCCTTCCAGATGCCGCGATTGAAGTGTTCTTTGAGATACTTTGGAACTGTCTTCCTGCTCAGCATCACCGGCAGGGAAAAAAACTCCGGGGAACTTGGAATGGAGTCTCATAGTCTCATTTCCGGCAGCAAAGGTGCTAATGAAGTCTAGTCATTGCAGAATCTTGGAAGAACAGCGCAAACGTTTTTGTAGATTCCTTTTCTCTTTTCTCTTATTTTTGTCTCTTGTCCAGGCCAAGTCGAAAACTATGGTTTCCCAATCGTGAGCTGGACTTCATCGCGGATATGAATCGAGTCGATCCTGTGAAAGCGGCAAGTAGTTGAAACCAAGAGAGCTCGCGACGAGCAAAGCATGGAGATCGATTCGGCTACGTAGGCATCACTTCGCTGGCTTTCTCGAAAGTGAGCCACGGGCCGAGAGGCTATGGCGCTTCCAGCAGCAGCGACGAAGGAATGCAAGAGTTCTCACAAAATCGAGCATGTACGCGAGGTACGAGCCTTGCTGGGTGTTTGATGCCATGGAGCACCACGATGTTTTTCTCTGGACAGCTCTCAAGCACGGCTACTCCAAGAACGGCCAGGGAGAAGTGACTTTGGAGCGCTTCTCGCAGATTTTCTCTGGACAGCGCTCATGCTCACCGACTCCAAGAATGGCCAGGGAGACGTGGCTTTGGAGCTGATGCTGCTACTCGCAAGGCAGTGCTGTCTGAATTCTCGTGCTCAAGGTCCTTGCTAGCTTGGCTGCAAAGGCAGGAAAATCGGTGGAAAAGTGGTGAAGAGAAGAAGAGTCATTTCGCACCAAGAGATTTGGATAACTTTGTGAAGAGCTTGGAACTTTGAAACAAAGTTGGCCTCAGGCTCAGAGTACAGAGCTTGAGCCTGAGGGATATTCCTGTTCCAAGTTCTCTTTTCTTTTTAACGGCCTGTTGACCCTGAAATCAGTTCAACCAGAGATAGGGTTTCACAGAGATAGGGTTTCACATGCTTGAGTAGTAAGTGGTAATTCTCTTATTGTCTAAAGTAATTTTTATTTTTACCTTTCTATATTGTACAACATGAGTATGAAGAAAAAGAAAGAGAAACTTTGGTGGAGGGAAAAGACCAAGAACAACAAGAAAGAACTTACATGCAATAAGATAAAAATGTAAAGGATTAAAAAAAAGTATAGTTTTATATTAAATTAGTTACTTGTCTTCGAATAAGCTAAAGACTAACCATTATTTGTAAATAGATGTCTAGAAAGATGATGGAATAAGGAAGGAAGCTTTGCTAAAAAAATTCTTCAAAAGGCATAAAAAACAAAATATCAAAAAGAATGACAAAGAAGAGTAAGAAATTGCTATTACACCTTAGCAAAAGAAAAAGGATAAAAACTTGAAATTAAAAATGGAGAATAAAGTTATAGGTGATAAAGCAAATGACTAAATAGTTTTTAAGCCAAATGAAAAGCTAAAAATTAATTGCTAAATGCAAGAAAATGCAAAATGCAAAAGAACAAATGTAACTTATATGAGTTAGGATATTTTGAAGTTCTGTTCTAACTTGGATTTTTCCATCTGGAAAGCACTTCTACAAAGTATGAAAGCTTATAATTAGATTTATAGTAAGTTCTTCGAAGAAAAATTTAAAAAAACTAATACATACATAAGTATTTTGAGCTATGTTTGAAAAGTAGTTTATGAGGCTCATCCATTATAAAGAGATAATTGTCAAAAAGCTAACACTTATTGATATAGCTTATAGCCAAAAATCATAACAAATACCATTAATTATTTACCATTAATTTATTTTAGTCATCTAGTGGTGGGAGATAAGTCAGGTTTAGGGTGAGGGCATTTTATAGAGCTTCTTGGAAGGTGAAAGCAATAGTGTTGAAAGGGAGTTAGAGATTAGCTACTTTCCAAAACAATAGAATTTGATTTAGTTTGTGGAAATTTCTCCTCTTTTTTCCTAAATTTTAGGTTTATTTTGTTGGTAGCCACTTGAAATGTGATTTGATTCATGCATGTGCTAGATGCCATGCCACTAGAGGAGCAACTCATTTACATTCTTTCCCAATTAATGGTGATTACTAGTTCTAGCAGTGGTGGCAGCAATCAATTGTAGCTCGCCACTGACATTTCGCCTGGAGCAATAAAGATCCACTCTTGATCAAGGTGACCACTATATTTTTTTTTCTTCGTTTTTTTCATGGTCATAAAACTTCTTTGCAACTAAGTTTGGCATCTATATTATTACTTCTTTTCTCCTATTTTTCTTTCTTTCTCCTGCTTCTATCTTTTATTTACTTCTTCTTCCTCTTTTATTTTGTCCTAGCACTAGAATTATTCTTTCTCTTGGATGATACTATTGCTCTAATCAATTTTTGCACAGATCAATTGTCAGCAAGAAAATTAGAGGAGGCATTCTAGTTTTGTGAAATTTTATCACCCATCTTTGACTTTGTGAAACATGTAAGACAAAAACTAGAGGATGTAAATAATAGATACTTCCAATGGATGGCATAAAAAATAGTCAAGGAATTATTTAGAAGGCAAGTCAGTTTTGAAGTGGCTATTGTGGTTGTAGCACAAGAGCATGGAGGTAAACACAACACTTGTTATTCTTGCCAAGCTATGAAAGAAACAATAGAAGCAACTCTGAAAGTTTATCAAACTTCACAAATAACATTAGATTATTATCCATGTAAAAAAGAATGTAAGAAATGACACTTCCAAGCCTAAAAAATGCTATGATTGCACATAATTTACTATCTTTAGTCTTGAGCTCAACCAAAGAATAAGGACAACTAAAAGAATTAACAACATAGGCTTATAGACTCACAAATAGAAATATCATTCTTCTTTAGTTCTTTGTTTGGCCAAAAGATGGAGAGAAATCAAATGTACAAACCCAAAACCTATAGAGTGACATTTCTTTTCATTTCTTCCTCTCTTTGAGGCTTGATAGTTCTTTTAGTTATGTTGTACGTTAGATTTTAAAAGTGCATCTTAGATAACAAGTCTTTTTCATTGGTTTGAGATTCCAACTTTAGGCATTTGAAGCTTGACATCTTAGAGTTTTTGGACTTACAACAAGAAAATCATTCACTTTAATTCTTTAACCCTAAACCCTAAACTAGATATAATCCTTTGAGCACCTGTGCTCCATGTATGTATGTATGTATGGACCGGCTCAGTCTCTCCGGTTTTCTTTGCTTTT